TAAGCGCCCTCGTTTTACCCGACCCCTGAAAACCATAGAAAGAACAGAAGCGGGTTTCCCCATAGTCCGGTGTCCTCAAAAATAGCTTCTGAGAAAAATCGCTGCTACCTGAGATTGTGCGGACTACTTTGGCTAGCTTTGCTCGAGTTGTTACTGATGGTTTGGGGTTTATTGAGAAGCCCAAACCCCAGGCCCTAAGCCCTAGGCCCACGTGCCACTTCCAAATCGCGGGACCCAGGGTGGCCAAAGAAACAGCAGAGTTTTTGTGGTATAAAGAAGCATGCCTTAGACTACACCCTCAAGTCTAAAATCCCAAAGCTCGGCCTGAAGCTTCTTCGGGAGAGGTTCAATGGTGTAAGCAGTCCTGACTCATGAAACACCATCACCATCAATACCGTACCTGAAACTACACCCCGCACCCCAGGCCGCCTGCTGCGGCTGCAGGGCGCATTGCTTTGCTGCAGCAGCCAAAGGCGAGCTCCGGAGCTTGGGTCGAGAAGACTTGAGGGTTGAGGGTTTTCGGATTAGGGTTTTGGGTTTATTTAGAAGCCCAAACCCCAGGCCCTAAGCCCTATAACCGGTTTTGGGTTTGGGTTATGTAGGTGTGCTGCAGTGTCTATGTATGTCTATAGGCATGTCTGTGTAGGTAACCAAGTATGTCAAGGTCAGTCTGTATGCATATGGATACGGTTCGGACGTGAAAGTTCTCCGACGACAGGATCGATAAGGCCATAGGCCACGTGTTCACAGCTTGGCTTCAAACTGACTGATCTTCTCGCTCCAGGCTTGCTAGGAAGGCTGCCCATTGAAGATGATCAGGACTTCAAGACACCCAACCTCTTGTCGGTTGAAAGCTAAAGCACCCTGAAACCTCTTACCCTAGAAGCTTCAACCCTATAACCTTTACTTTAACCATGAACACATAAAACCAGGACCCTACAACCTTGAACTCCTCCTACAACCTACAACCTAAACCCTGAAACCCTTAACTCCTTGTTGAGGTAAGCGCCCTCGTTTTACCCGACCCCTGAAAACCATAGAAAGAACAGAAGCGGATTTCCCCATAGTCCGGTGTCCTCAAAAATAGCAGCAGACATGTTTTCCTCCGCAGACGTCTGCCGGCTCGAGAATCTCTCGAGCATCTGCCATCTCCGCCCCCTCGGCTCTATTTGCTCTCCCGCCATGGCGCTGCACTTTTTTCTGTTGAGAATGATGTACCGTCGTATGTATGTGACTTGGCATTTCTCTGGTTAGTTTGGCTTAGTTTATGATCCATAGGCTAAGAGTTTAACTTGTGGGAGGGGTTCAGAAGTCAGCCAAGGCCAAACGAGCGAAGATTTGGACAAGACGGGCATGGAAGGCCTCTTGGGCAATCTCCAGATGAAGAGGGCTCACGCTTATCTGGCAGCTGCTCGGATGGCGACTTGGAGTGGATAGTACACAATTTACTTTATACACGTTGTGTATAAAGATTCTCACAATTTTGCCTCGAAGTCCGGAATTTCAACTCAGGCCACGATGAGCAGCCAAGCCCCCAGACTTCGCAAGCCACTGACCAAACACGATCGGGTGCTCCGATTCCTGAAGCGGCTAAACGACGCAGGCGCTCTGGACCACTTTCTCGCAGGCTTCACGAGGTGACGTTTAGGCCCCGAGACTACCCAGCAGCCTGCGGAGACAAACGTTTGGGCCTACAGACTACCCAGCAGCCTGCGGAGACGGACGTTTGGCAGGGAGTTCAACGATCGAGGGCTCGCAGACGACTGAGCAGAGCTTGAGTGCAGGCAGAGAAAAGATGCCGGCACTTTGGGGCTTGGGGTTTAGGGGTTTGGTGTTCATGTTCCGGGGCCCAGGTTTCGTTTTTTGGCAATGCTGCTCTAAATAATTTGTGGTTGCTAGCCAGGGCAGCTAGGGTTAGGGGTCTCAGGATTTGGGGTTTGCCGGAATAAGCATTCATTTATGGTTTGCACATAAAGCCCCGAAACCCCCGAATCCACCCGAGCCCCCGAAACACCTGCTAGGAAAACCAGCGAGAAACTTTCCCGAAACCTTTATACCAAACCCAAGGCCCAAAGCACGCCTCTGGTAAAAAAGAAATTATAACCCCGGACACCCTCTCAGTTGAATGCAGGCTGCCTCGGCTTGCCGCGGCTGCCAGCCGAAGATCTTCGAGACCAGGCACACCTTTGGGTTTCGGGGTTTTGGTTTTGGGGTTGAGGGCTTATGTGTTTTCGACAGCTAGCTAGTCGCTATATTCCATCGCTGAGTTCAGTGGTTTAATTTAAGTCTATCGGGATCAGAGGTGTTGTGCCTCTCGCGTCACATCCTACTCCCCCCCCCCCGCTTCGTTGCTGTAAGCGCCCTCGTTTTACCCGACCCCTGAAAACCACAGAAACAAAAGAATCTGATTTTCCCCATGGTCCGGTGTCCATAAAAATAGCAGGCAACATGCTTTGCCTCGCAGCCGTCTGCCGGCTCGAGGACCTCTCGAGCATCTGCCCTCTCGGGCCTCTCGGCCCTCTCTGCCCTCCCGCCATGCTGCTGCACTTTTGTTTCTGTTGAGAAGGATGTCCCGTCGCACGTTTGTGACTTGGCGTTTTTCAGGTTAGTTTGGGTTATTATATGATCCATAGGCTAAGAGTTAAACTTGTCTCGCCTGGGCTGTTGCCAAACAGGCACACTGCTGGCACCGTCGCTTCTTGGAGGCATTCCTGTCCCGGGACATAGCCTGGTACGACGACAACGAGCCGGACATAGCCTGGCACGACGAGAACGAGCCGGCAGAAATGGCAAGCAAGCTTCAGGCGGATGTTGCGAATGTCTACGTCTTCATGTGCACCGCTCTCGGTTACCTGACTGCAAGCCTCGGGCAGACGAGGGCTGGCTTTTCTGTGGCCTGGTATCTTGGTCATAGTTGTTGGGTAACATTTTACGTTTTCATGGGCACATAATCCCAATAAAGAAGACAAATGTACATGTTTCATATTCTCCCAACCATGAACTAGGCAATTTAACTTGTGGGAGGGGTTCAGATGTCAGCCAAGGCCAAACGAGCAAAGATTTGGAGAAAAAGGGCATGGAAGGGCTTGGTCGATCTCCAGACCAGGAAGGCTCTTGCTTGGTTGGAAGCTGCGAGGATGGCGACTTGGAGTGTATAGTACACACTTTACAAACTTTCCTGGTGGCTTATTATAAGAATTTTGCCTCGAAGTCCGCAATTGGAACTCAAGCCACGACAAAAAGGGTTCTCTTGCTGCTCAAAAGGCGAAACGATGCGGGCCACCAGCCTGGACACCTTTCTGACAGCCTTCAGGAGGTGACGTTTAGGCCCACAGACGAGCGTAGCGACGTTAGGCAGCGACTTCAACGATGGAGGGCTCGCAAATGGTGAGCAGAGCTTGATTGCAGGCTGAGAAAAGATGCCGGCACTTTGGGGCTTGGGGTTTAGGGGTTTGGTCTTTATATTCCGGGGCCCAGGTTCCGTTTTTAGGCAATGCTGCTCTAAATACTTTGTGGTTTCTAGCCAGGGCAGCTAGGGTTAGGGGTCTCAGGATTTGGGGTTTGCCTGAATAAGCATTCATGTATGGTTTGCACATAAAGCCCCGAAACCCCCGAATCCACCCGAGCCCCCGAAACACCTGCTACGAAAACCAGCGAGAAATTATCCCGAAACCTTTATACCAAACCCTAGGCCCTAAGCACGCCTGTGGTTTATTAAACCAAAAACCCCGGACACCCTGTCATTTGCATGCAGGCTGCCTCGGCTTGCCGCGGCTGCCACCCGAAGTTCTCCGAGACCAGGCACACCTTTGGCTTTCAGAGTTTCGGTCTTGGGGTTGAGGGCTTATGTGTTTTCGACGCTAAATAATTTGTGGTTGCTAGCCAGGGCAGCTAGGGTTAGGGGTCTCAGGATTTGGGGTTTGCCGGAATAAGCATTCATTTGTGGTTTGCACTCTAGCAGGGAGGAGGCCAGACTGATGTATACATACCACACCCCAGATGGAATATGGTTCCTTCGGGCCCCGTGCCCCTGCGGTTAGCACGTTTTACCACTTGCGCAGGGAAGGCACAGTCCGAGATCATCCATCAGTTTCGCCACTGCAAGTCTTGTCTCCCAAGCATGGCTCCAGAAATCTTTGTACGTGCACGGAATGACCTCTTGCCGGTGCACGAGAGCCTGATACACGACGGAGATGCGCAGAGATTCATGGAACTCGTTTTGGAGTGGCACGAAGGCCTGTCACGTCTGCAAAAGCGAGATTGGCATGACCGAGGCATGGCGTCACTTGGGTCAGCGTTGGCGGTGGGCGGTGGCAACTACGCACTGTTTCTGGAGATGGTGGCTCCGAACTGGGA